GTCGGCGTTTCCGGTTCTCGACTCAGTGGCGGACAGCAAATACGTGTGGTATGTCACTTTAACCCTGTGGATGAGAAAACTTGAAATAACAAATACTTCTCTAGGCGCTTGCGCGAGCTCTTTACTCGAAAGAGCCGGTTCTTGTTTTAGATGACGCCCTTACAGGTCTTGACGGAGAAACCGAGAAGATAATCCTGGAGAACTTGTTTGCTGAACATGGTTCCCTCAAACGTTCTCGGCAGACAGTAATTATGGCAACAAACTCAGGTCCGTATACGCCCTATATCTGTGCAAGCCATTCAATAAGCTGATTATCACAGCGCATCATCTTCTCTACGCCGATAACGTCATCGCGCTGGATAAGGATGGGAGAATCACCCAGCATGGGTCGTATAGTGATCTCGTGGGTTCCGACGGCTATATTGGAATGCTTTCCGATAATATTCACCCAGTCGACACCGCCCGAGCCCCCGATATTGTATTGGACGACGAAACATTGCGGGAATTGAACTTGGATGACCAACATACAGATTTAAGTCGACGAACTGGCGACTGGACTGTCTATCGGTTTTATTTTCAGAACATCGGCTGGCCTCTTTTGTCGGTCTTCCTTGCATGCTGTGTTCTCTTTATTCTCGGCCTCAGCTTTCCTCGTAAGCTTCCACAAACCTGCCTACACATCTGATTCCACACGTTGCTAACAGTCTACACAGAAATCTGGCTGCAGTGGTGGACTAGTGCCAATGAACAGCACCCCAACGAACATGTTTATTATTGGTTGGGTGTATACGCTGCACTTAGCTTCTTCTCACTTCTAACTACCTTTATTGGAACTTGGTATAATTCCAACATTCTCTTCAATCAGGTTTCCTTCGATGACTAATTTGTATAGGATCCTCATCATGATCATACAGCCCCGAACAGCCCGTCGGTTCCACGAAATTCTCTTGCGTACTACAACGGGGTAAGAATGGACAAGCAATAGTTGCCAGGCGTTACTTTTTCTGACCTTCAATTTAGAGCTACAACCTCTTTTCTTACCTCTACGGATATCGGAAACACCACAAACAGGTCAGCATGTTATCCTTTCCTAATATGTGGTCATTTTATTGATCCGGTTTCTTGCTTGCAGATTTAGCCAAGACCTCGAACTCATTGACGACGAGCTTCCTTCGGCCTTGGAGCTAACTGTCAATGCTGCACTAAGCTGTGTGATAGAAGGATTTCTAGTCTTTGTTGGCTCTTCTTATGTCACGGCAGCAGTGATTCCAGTCTGCGTCTTGGTGGTATACTACGTGGCAAAGTTCTACGTCCAGACCTCTCGCCAAATGCGTCTGCTAGACATTGAAGCCAAAGCACCTTTATTCTCACAATTTTTAGAAGTCCTCAACGGTCTCTCCAGCATTCGAGCCTATGGCTGGACTGAGGATTACCACCGGCGTAATCAAATTGCCCTTGACGCTTCCCAACGCCCTTTCTATTTACTTTATTGCATTCAGCGCTGGATTGGTCTTGTGCTAGACTTGATAGTGGCTGGTATTGCGGTTGTTGTTATTGCTGTCGCAATCTCGATGAAGGGTAGCCCTTCCATGAATTTGTTGGGTATCGCGTTATTCAACATTGTCAACTTCAGCGGCACCCTTCAGATGCTTGTTACAGACTGGATTGGATTAGAGACCTCCATTGGGGCCGTTGCTAGAATTCGCTCATACGTGCGACAAGTCGCTACTGAGGATTTAGATTCCGAAACAGAGGCCGTCCCCGAGGACTGGCCTCGGAAGGGTGAGATTGATATAGCTGGCCTTTCAGCGTCTTACGAGTAAGCTCTTGCGAATTTCTTGCGTTCCTTCGGATATATGCTGATCAGTCTTTCAGTGCCGCTTTAGAGCCTGTTCTTACTGGGATTGATCTCAGTATTCATCCCGGTGAAAAGATTGCTCTCTGTGGCAGGACTGGCAGGTTTGTGTTGTCCCAGATCAGGAATTCGTTGCGTCCACACTCACTGGTTTACATTTTAGTGGGAAATCCTCCCTTGTTTCGGCAATTCTGCGAATACTGGAACTGAATAGCGGCACAATTCTCATCGATGGCATAGACATTTCAAAAGTCTCCAGGTCACAGGTTCGGTCCAGAATTAACACTATTCCACAACAACCCTTTTTTCTCCATGGCACAGTGCGGCTAAACGCCAACCCCGAGGGAAATGCAACTGATGAAACAATCATTGAATCCCTACAAGCAGTCAATCTATGGTCTCATATTCAACTCAAAGGAGGGCTGGATATCGATATGTCCGATGATTTACTATCTCATGGGCAGCAGCAGCTTTTCTGCCTTGCAAGAGCACTTTGCAAGTCCAGCAACATAGTCATTATGGACGAGGCCACTAGCAGGTATGTGGAAAAGCAACGCATATACGAACTTTTGTTAAGAGATCTTGCAGTGTGGACTCGGAAACAGATGCGCTCATGCAAACCGTCATTCGGACGCACTTCAAGAATCAAACTGTCATCGCTATTGTGCACAAGCTGCATACAATTCTGGACTTTGACAAAGTTGCTCTCCTAGAAAACGGAAAAATTGTGGAGTTTGATACACCCAAGGCGCTTTTGTCAAAAGAGGGATCAGCGTTTAGAACTTTGGTGGAGACTTTTCACGACAGTTCCAAAGAATAGACAGGGAATAGCCCTTTGCGCGTGGTTTGAGACCAGAGATACTCTCACAAGGGTTTAAACCAAAAACAACCGAGTTATAGATCAATGAAAATAGTGAGCCGCTTATGCAGCCCTATCAAGTCTTTTTTTTCTATATGTTTCTAGATAGTTTTCCAAAGGTCTTTTTCTATACAGTTTCCCCTCCTTCTCAGTCTTATGGCTAGATCGTCGAAAATGGCGGGGAAAGCCTGTAAGGAAGATATAGTGGTTTAGCAGTCGAATAGGCAGGTCAAAAGACAGAAGAAAAAAATACTTGGGAAAAGAGGCTGGATATACCTATGTACATACTCATCTTTGAATGATCGTTTCAGGGCTCGGGGAACAGCTCGTACATGGCCGCTATACCAAGAGCCAATACCCCAAGAGTCAAAAGCATCAAACAACTTGACCATTTAGGCTGAACCCCAAATGCAGTAAGCATATCCAGCCCACAGCCACGACCAATCTCCATTAAGAACGGGTTAAGCTCATACAATTTCTCAAGCGTGATTTCAGCGCTACGGGAGTCCGACTATGATAATAAGCATACGGACGATTTGGCATTTTGTAAACTATCTGCACGAAGAGGACTTGGCAACGGAGCAAACATACACGGGAGCTCAGCGGGTCAGTTGACGAGATATCGCGGAGGACGGATTCACCATGTCAAATATCCTATGATATCACCGAGATAACCCCGCACTTGAGCAAGCGAAATACAAAGCAAGAGCCGTCTCCTTCTCCAGCTTCACCACTATACCATGTCTTATAAACTCACCAGAGAAGACGTCACATGGGGCGTTGAGGAGTCTGCGGCCATTCGGGCTGCCGGTAATCCCAATCCAGCCGTCCTTCGTGCTCTGTTGGATTACCATAAAAGAAAACTTCGTGAACTAGCAGGGTGCTCTCCCAATGCAAATATCAGTGGCAGCAACATGGGCACCTACGAATCTCCGCTCACGGCTGCCATTCGCGTGAAGTCATCAGAAAATGTTCGGATGCTTCTGGCCCGTGGTGCGGATCCCACAGGCATCCACATTTGGGATTTATCTGACTACTCTGCGAGGTTCATGCGTGGTCGAGATGCCAAAGTCGATGTCTCGAGTTTTGGCCCGTGCCCTTCAAGACTGCACATTCTAGAAGTCGCAGAGAGCAAGGGAATCACCGAGCAGACACAGCCGTTGACACAGGCCGAACTGGATGAGCGGCGCACCAGCTTTCCACGATTTTGGACTGAGCCAAATGTCCCAGGTCAGCGACTGAGGATGAACAAAGGCAACACAGCTTTAGAAGTGGCTGCTAGCCTGGGCTTTGAGGATCTCTTCGCGCTGGTTCGTGAAGCGGGGGCAGATGAGTCTGCCTGGATCAGTGCTTCCGGCCAAGCCAACTTCGATGATACTAAGCCGTCATCACTAAGCATCACATCTCCTGTCCACGAAGCCATCGAACATGGTCAACATGCTATGCTTGAAAGGCTACTCAATACATATCACTATTCTCCCAATTATCGGGCAATGGCAGCTCCCACAATTGCCTTCCCGCCGCTTTCTTTTGCACTGGGTCGATGCGATCCAAATGACCACAATATACGGGCCTGTATCAAACATCTTCTCGCACATCCGGATATAGACTTAAATCTCCGCACTCCTATCTTCGAAATTCATCCACTTCATTTGGCAGTTGCTCGCCATGACCCTGGACTCCTATCCTTTCTCCCTATGCCACTCTCCAGCGCAGGCACGACGGCTTTGGGTCATACATTGCTTCACATCGCCTCACTCCCACTTACCTCAATGTCAATGAACCGAGAAATCCCTGATGCCGTGCGAAGTGTTCACTGCGCCCGCACCCTAGATTCTAGGTGGCTTCCGCATTCACGACCCAGCCCGCTGCACTTGGAAACAACAGAAAGAGCCGCGATCCAAGTGCCATTCCGTCCTATCAATCCACCGACACCATTGGCTCCTGCTGAGCGGGATGCACAACTCAGCACTCTTCGCGTGCTTGTCGACGCGAGGATCGATGTACGCGCCCAGGATGTGGATGGAAACACTGCATTACATTATCTTGCTACTGCCTTAAATGGTGATTCCAGAGCCATGCAACTATTGCGGGAGATGGAAGGGGGCGAAGAGGTCTACAATAATTACAAGAATCGGGAGGACCTGACGCCCCGTGCCCTGTGGGAAGCTTGCAATGAAGCGTGATAAGTGCAACAGAAATTTGTGGGAGAACCTCACGGAATGGCAAAGATCTTTTGTTATTATACCTAGCTATCGGTGCTAAGGACGGGGGATCACATGCTGACTAGATGCCGTCTGTATGACACGCTCCAGTCATAACATCTTCTCGCTTTGACTTCAGCTGCCCTAGCGAAGTTGAGAGCTCCGTTTCAGACCCATGGTACCACCCTTTTGTGGCCGGTTTGAGGATCGAAACGCGCAGCATGGGCGAAAATCTTGGCCAGCAGAGAGACAATCGCCTGCGGACTATGCACCCAGTCGTAAGACTGTCTTGCCCACTAGCAAATGTTTTAGTAGTATTATAACAAGTTCCACGAAGATTTCTCACCTCTCCATTCGGTCGAATGCTGAGGAAGATCCATTCGAAACTGTCCGTCGTAATTCCATAAACTGATGTATCTGGAATCTTGGCTTGCTTCCTCGTTTCGTGAATGATGGCTGTTCGTTCATATTAGCACTAACCCGCGTACAATATAAATCAAAATCACTTACCCATATATGCCAGGCATTGATACACCCCAAAGTGTAACAGATCCCTTGTTACCATTTTAACCATTACCATATTGGTCGGATTGTCATTAGGCATGCCATACCAAAGCGAGTAGTCAACGATGCCAGAAAGTCTCACTCGCTGTCTACCGCTTTTCCAAACGAATTTCATCTCGCGTGCGGCTTGCAGGTGAACAGACTCCAGTGAGGCGGAGGCTGATGCAATGGAGCTGCGGGGCTTTGCAGCAAACTCGCGCTTTACCTTAGCTAGTACTGTCAGGATAACCACATCAATGCGAGATCGTATCAACGCCTTGTTTGGGGGTGAGCGACCGGCTGCGATGCTATAGTCTGCGAGGATATAGTCTATACAAGTTAGTGTAAGCAATGTTTATATCAATAACCGAACTTACTCAGGTCAGGGAGGGAGACCTTTTCGGTCTCGCTGGGAGAAAGTTCGAACTCGGTGGGCGGACACTGAGTGAGGTTAAAGTGATACGGAATTTCAGTCGAGTCGAGGTCGGTAATGGGGATTGCAGGCATCTGTTTCAATTTCTTGCGCCTAGCACGTAGTCTGTTTTTGAGAGTTCTGTGCGCCTTTCGAGACTCAACGATATTCTCCATGGCTAGGGGGGAAAAGGAGTTCAATGAGAGGTGAAAGGAAGAAGAAGATGTAAGTTGGGTAGGAAAGATACCAAGAGGTCTGAAATATGACTCTGCGCTTCCTTTAAAGGTTTAGTACCTCAGTATCCATGGGTCTATTACTAGTTACTAGTATGTCTTCACATGTTTTTAATTGGAATTCTTTCCAGATGTCTTTCAGGTATATTTCAGATACTCTCAGATGGCTTTTGATGTCTCTTCAGATATTTCCTTAAATATATTTTTAGATGCCTTTCCTTCTCAGTCTTATAGCAAAAAGAGCACATATGTAGAATGTAAGGGACATGGACTTTGGAAGTCTATCCGGTTCTGGCTTGCAAGGTTTCAACGTTCCAAGGTCGCCAGCCCCGTCTCTAGAAAGGGGAAAAGTACATGCAACCGCTCCCAGTGTACTCTCTTCCCTGAACCTTCTCTTCTTCATCTCACAAAGTTATTCTATCATCGTGGTATTCAGTAGTCCTAAATATCTATTTCTCAATCACTCAACTTCATTCAGCTTTGCTTTCTTCAAGTCATTTGACAACACTCTACTCAATTCATTTACAATGATTGAAGAAGATTGTGCAACGATCAAGACGACTAAGGGACACAAACACGTAGTGGAGTCCTTTGGCCTCTCGCCTACTAGGTGGTGGAATAAGAAGCAACTCAACGCAAGAAACACCTGGACCATCCCGGATCACCTCGGTGAGTTTCAGCTAACCATCCATCTGTTTTGGATATTGCTTGCTAACAACTGATTAGCGTGCTTGTGGGACGATCTTGAGCTAGCGGCTTCGGAGTGTAGTACACATCCGCTGTTCCGAGTGAGAGTAGAGTCACTTCTCCTCGCGCTGCTCGCAGACAGTATTAAGAAAGAGTCACTTGATCCCCATGGGGCCCTGACATTGCCCCACTGGAGCTTTCAGAAGCGGATACTCACGCGAGATATGAAAGACGACAAAACTCCAGCTCCAGAGGATATCATTGACTACGTTTTGTGGTATGGTCACTGCTGGGAGCTGGAATCAAATATGATCGTTATGAAGTCTGACAGTCCGGTACCTCGGAGCTGGACTCTGCTTCAAAATATGTCGGGTATTCACCATGCTCGTAAGCTCGCGGGAAGGGACGCAGTTATCTACGGTGTTATAACTGACGGGTCAAAATGGGTATTCATACACCTGACCAATCAAAGTCGGGTAGGTAACATTGGAAACCCTGGGCTACGGGCGTGCTTGAGGGAAGTGTGGCCAAGCTTTTGACTAACATCTTTTTTAGTATACGATTAAGGTATTCTCCTGGGACAACAAGCGAGATCAGATCATTGGCCAGGTCCAGAATATAATCGACCAGGCAGTTGCTCGTCATAGAAAGATACTGTCACGCCCGTCTCTGCCGACGCCTACTGTTCATCAAATTAGTCACTGTCAGATCAGAGAGCTGCCTGCTCCATCCGCTGGCTCAGATGACGAGAGTGACCGCGTATCTGAGCGGAATGCCTACCATACGGCTACAGTTGAGGAGAGAGCCTATAATGATGAGGAGGGACCCCTTTGGTGGTAAATTGCTGGAAACTCATGTTTTGTACCTATGTGCGGCGGGTATGTCGGACAATGGAATGTTTGAAATCTTTCGTAGTCCCGTGGTCTAGCAATCGACTCTTACAGTCCTTTTCCTTTCCTCCATTTTTTCACGGTACCAGACTTTCTAATACAATGGTATTGCTTCATGCCTTTTATCTTACGTACTATCCTACAGAATATGAGTAGGGATAAATCCAACTTAACAACTCGGTTTCTTTCCGAAATTTAAACCCAATTGCAAAGAGTGATGTCGTGTTCCATTTAAGCCATTCGGATTGAACGCAAGCTCTGGAAGAGCAGGACGAAGGACCATGCTACGGCTTTTTCGGCTTTCCTAGAGGCAGCGGTTGTCTCTGACAGCAAACTCAAGTTAGACATATGGAACAATGGCCATTGTGCTCTGTCGCCTTCGGATCTTACACTTAAATTCACACACAAGTCCCTGCTTTCTTCCTTGGAAGGATTAGAATACCTGCGCCTCTGTATCTGTGTCTCGAAAGTACAGTCAGGTAATTCACACTCGGATATCTCATCGATATTCCTATAATGGTTCCACTGAGTTTTAAGATCCTAACATTCACACAATGGGACCGGAACGGTGTAATGAGCCCTCATTATTCCATCGGCCTCTTCCACCGTATCAACCTTTCCGTAGTAGAACTTAATCTTTATTGGATTGAAATCACCAGCGATACGGAAGGATATTGGCTTCGACGCTGAGCGAGCTGCTGGAGCTGGTGTTTTCTTCAGACAGAGCCACTGCGGGCACCATAGATGTGCCAGTATAGCTTGCCAGGTGAAATTCTATACGATAATTTGATCTGTAGATGTATGGAACTGTCAGTTTTGGAATTGCTACGATAGTCACAGATCTAAGTGAATCTAAACTGTAAGCACAACCTTCCCTCGACCATCAAACCTCCCATTAGCATAATCATATGCCTCCTGCACACGGTCAATTCCAAAACTAGCAGCGACAAACGACCGTAACTCCCCCCTCGCCGTCAACTCACTCAGCGCGCGCAAAACCTCCCCACTCCCCTCAACAATAAAAAACAACGCCTTAATCCCATCCCTGCTCAACCCACGCTCTGCATGAGCCTCGACAAAATCAAAGCTCGCCGAATCAACAGATATCAAAACACCTCCCTCCTTCACAAACCCCCAACACCTGTCCAGCACCTCCCCACCAACCGAATCAACAACAACATCAAACCGACCTTCTTGACCCTCCAATTCCGCATACTCAACAACCTCGTCAGCCCCCAACTCCATCAAGAACTCCCCATTCCTTACAACAGACCCACTAGCCGCAACAACATGCATCCCAGCACGCGCAGCAAGCTGCACGAGGAAAATCCCAACCCCACCCACAGCACCAGTAACAAGCACACGTTTTTCCAACTGACGAGCATACTGATAATCCTGCTCCTGACGATGCTGTGCCTCCGTCTGCGCACCCCCGCCCAAATCCGGAAGCGGAAGGCCCGCATGAACAAACAGCGCCTCGTACGCCGTCTGCGCGCTAAGCGGTAATGCCGCCGCCTCTTCCCACCCAAGACCCGCTGGTTTGGGTGCGACTTCGTCGGTCGTGACGAGCGCGTACGACGCCCATGTTGAGCCCCGGTCTGTAGAAGTCATTCCGAAGACGGCAGTGCCGGGTTTGAGGGCTGTTGTTGAACCCGGGGAGACTGATGCTACTGTGCCTGAGAAGTCGTGGCCCGGGATTGTGTACGGTTGCTGGTATGTCTCGGGCCATGTGAGCATGTCACGGATTACGGTTGTTGCTTTGATCTGAATTAGGAGCTGGTTTGGGGCTGTGGGAGTTGGGATGGGGATTTTGTCGTTGTGGAGGGCTGTTGTTGGAGCGGGGTTGGTTGGGGAATAGGGTGTTGAGGAGGGTGGTGCTGGGTGGACACGGATGGCTTGCATTTTATGGGTTTGTCGCTGGATAACTTGTGTTAGAGATAGGTTTGACAGTCAGATTGAATGGATATTTGGCTTTTTATGTCCGAGTCGAAGTATGGCTCTGTAAATAGGCTATTGTCTAACGGGTATAGCCGACAGATCACGACGTCGGGTGCACAATTTTATGTTTCTTTGAACGGGTTGGATAAAAAATATTAATTGGTTTCATTAACTATGAAATTAGTCACAGGGGGCATGCCTTGAGGAAAAGAAAAAGAACTATGTTCAAAAAACGCAAATGCTGGCTGTACAACCTCAAGAAAATGACTCATGCGGACATGTGGATCCTCCTGTTTTCATTCCAAGAAAAGGGAACATTTACTCAACCGAGGGCAAGTCAGCCGAGAGAGGCAACTTGCGGGATGAGTTGCCGACATACACCTTCTTCTGTGCGTCCGAAATCACCCAGTTCTGGGAGGCAACGTCCCAGTTGGAGACATCCCGGCGGGTCAGAGTTGTAGTCCACTGGAGGCTCTGGCCAGGGGCAACGGTGACTCGGTCAAACTGACGCAGCACCTTTGAGGGGTCATCATTGCCGCCGAGGGAGACGTACAGCTGGGGAACCTCGTCACCAGTCACGGAGCCGGTGTTGGTGATAGTAGCGGTCACCTGGTAGAGGTCTTCAAACAGACCAGGGTTGCCGCCGGAGCTGCCGCTAGAGGGGAGAAGGTCCTGGGGGGAACCATCGGTAGCACCCTCAGGGAGGTAGTCCTTGGAGTCCATGCCGTAGTCAGGATCACCGGACGAGGCACGCAGGTCGGTGGAGTTCAACCACGGGTAAAGGTACTGGCGGACCCGTTTAATTCCCTCAGGGAACAGGTTATCCGAGGCTGTGCCAGCTTCGCCAAGAACGGGGGCCTTTTGGCTCTTTCCACTGGTCGCCTTGTATTCGCGATTCTGGGATGAGGCAAGAGGGGTGACCTTCAGGTCTGAGAAGGCAAAGTTGGTGTAGCTCAGGCCGTAACCGAACTCGTAAATGGGCTCTATGTTGTCCTTGTCGAAACGGCGATAGTCAATGAAGACACCATCCTCGAAGTTATCTTGAGGAGCATCGGCGCCGTTGTTGGGCACTGTGACGAGAGGATGGCCGTAGTCCTGGCGAGTCTTACCCCAGGTGAATGGAGTTTTCCCGCCGGGGTTGATGCGACCATATAGTACGTCCACCAAGCTGCGACCGCTCTCCTGGCCTGGCAAGCCAGCCCAGACAATGGCGGTAATGTTGTCATTGTCATACCAATCGCTAATCAGAACAGCGGATGTGCTGTGGATCACGACGATAGTGTTGTTGCAGTGTTGACTAGCAGTCTTGATCACCTCTTCGCCATTCTTCCAGAGAGTCAGGTTCTTGCGGTCACCCTCGTTGCCGTCAACGTTGATGAACCCCTCGCCAGAGTCGGCGTTCACGAAAACCAGGGCGACGTCAGCCTGGGAGGCAAGGGCGGCCATCTGGGTGAGGGCCCAGTTATCAGTCAGAGCGAAGACGTTGGTCTGCCCGTTGCCGTGTTCCAGGACTTCGTTTTGGATGGCTTGCTCGGGTGTAATCAGGTAAGGGTAGTTGGCAGTTCCACTACCCCAGCCCATGGCCAAAGTTCCGTTGTCACAGCCGCGGTCGTCGCAGCCATTGGCGCCATAGGCATTAGAGCCTGCGTCCTCTCCCAGAATGCCGATGAACTTCTCATTGTGCGTAAGGGGCAGTGCGCCACCCTTGTTCTTGAGCAGGACAGTGCTATCGGAGCCAATCTTGCGAATGATCTGGGCATGGTCACGCTGGACATTTACCCTCTCGTTGACCTTACCCCAGTCCTCACTGACCATGGCGTGCTGGAAGTTGTACTCATCACGGGTCCAGGAGCTGAAGTTGGGAGGAGTGCGGAAGCGGTCACGTCCAACCTTGTAGTAAGCAGACATTATGCGGACGGCCATATCATCGACGCGCCATTCGGGCACGGTACCGTTCAAAACGGAGATGGTCAGGTTGGTTCCCCAGTAGGAGTAAGGGCTACCAAGAATGACGTCACCGGGCATAGACATATCCAGACCGGCCAGAGCAGATTCGACACCGCTGTGATGCGCACCCCAGTCGCTCATAACAAAGCCTTGGAAGCCCAGCTCGCCCTTGAGCAGTTTATTGAGGGAGTAGCTGTTTGCGCAGCCGTAGCTGTTGTTGATTTGGTTGTAGGAGCACATGACAGAGCCAACACCAGCACGGATGGAGTCCACGAAGGGCCAGAGGTACAATTCGTGCATAGTTTTGTCATCAATGTTTGAGCTCAAGCTCTGGGAGATGTTGTAACCGTATCCCTGAGCCTCGCCGGATTGACGGAAGTGCTCCTGTTCATTTCCAATGAAGTGCTTAGCACAAGCAATGACACCGGCATCCTGCATACCCTTGATGGTTTCGGCCATCATCACACCAGTCAAAACGGGGTCAGGCGAGAAGCCTTCCCAGTTACGACCGCCGTCGGGGAACTTGCCCAGAGGGCCAGCAACAGGACCCAATTGCACATCCACACCTTTGTCGCGGTGCTCCTCGCCCATTGCCATACCACGCTGGTAAGCAAGTCGCTTGTCCCATGCTGCGGCAACATTGACACCGGAGGGGAATGCAGAGTTGTAATCACCTGTTCGAGTTCCATTAGTTAACTGCACTGCCAAGCTTATTCCGGATGGGCAGTTTTACTAAAGCGCACACCCAATGGTGCATCCTGCATACACATTCCCCACATGCCAAGTCGGGGAATGCCACCGGTCTCACCAACACATCGCTCTTGCATCCAGCCAGCACCGGTCGTCAAGTTGACTTTCTCGGCCAGTGTCAAGTTAGAGACAAACTCGACGGCGCGTGTGTATGCTTCAGACCAGTCGCCCTCGCCAGTCATCCATGGGGAGGGATAGTATGGAGGAGAATAGGCCAGTGACTGTTTTGACGCGACTTGGTTAGCAGCGATATTATTAAACGCCTTGAATTGGACTCACATTCGCATTGGCCACCGAAGCCGTCAAGGCGGCCACCTCAAACCACGCGAACTTCATTGCTGTGAAAATGCTGGAAAGGATTTCACAGAAACAGCAGAAAAAGAGCTGTTGAAAGAAAGCGGAAGGAACGAGTCACAGATCTGGGGGAGACTGGCTTAAATATTCGGATGCTTCCTGCTCACAGGGGCTGTAATAGCGTGCATGTACACTATTTTCTCCACAAAATGAAATCGAAAAATGGAGAAAAAGATCGACGATCCTTCAAAAGTATGCACTATCCCACTCATCACGTTACATCGTGCTCTATGATTGGCTATAGCTGATTCTTACTCTAAAGTTAGAGACTCATCCTTGAAAGGGGACACAAGGTAATTCCGTACAGTTGTGGCTGGCAGAGAAGGAGAAGCACAGGGTGAGAAGTCAATCCCCCTTTCCCGAGGATGTCCTAGAATCACTGGGCAGTATTACCCAGCCACTCCTTCTCCATCACACAATACTCACTCCACCTAGGCAGGGCTATTGATTCCCCTGTAATCCATCGCCTTGCTTCAATTCCGTATACGAGAACGGCTAAACGTCGGCATCTCACGCTGTAACTACCGTACCACCGCGCTCGTGCCTCTTCCCCGCTACTTCTAATTCTCCGTGGCGTACGGAGTATTAAACAACAGACGATCTTTATTTTACCAGTGTTCAACTTCTTAACTTCTTATGTTGTGGTGGTATATATACAGAGTACAACTACACATCCATGGATATAGCATCAGCTATCCCAACCATGATGTGGCAAATGGCCTCACCTGATCAGGTGAGAGTGATCAATTGAATACATATGTATACAAGGTGACTTCCAAGATTCTAATCTGACCTGACCAGTTTCTCACGTTCAGCAGATCACCGCTCGTCCTGCCGAATGGAGAAACCTCCGTGAGTGTGGGGAAGCAGACCTGGGCCATTGGCTGTCTCCAAGCATCCTATTACAAAATATCCCAGGCAAGTGCGACCGGCTTCAGGACAATACATACGTTATGCTTATGCTTTGCTCTAACAGAACTGCTTTGTCCATCGATCAAACGTTCTTTGTCCACAACGGGCTGCGCCATCCGCGCAGCTAAGCGTTTTCGCTGCCGTGGGAACCGAGTGCGGGAGTGTGGGGCTCCAGACTCAGCAAATGCCGACTCGAGTGCCCCAGTTTCTGACGGGTTGCGCGATTAATCGTGAGTTGTTTATCTCTGCTATTTCTTGACCAAACGTTACATCCGGCTGCTCGGATCGTGAGCCTCCTTGATGGAGTGCCAACGCGGTAACTCAGTATCGGACTAATGAAACCTTGGCCGAGTCGGCGCATTTTCGATCGGGCCAGTATTACTTTGGGGGCGTCGATACTACCTACGTTTTAGTGTTCAGTAATGATTGCCCAATGGAACTTCTAAGGCTCGTGTGCTGCTTCTCAGTCCCCCCAAAATGCGCCCCCACACTTATGCCCCGGCATCGGACGAAATCCCGTATGTTCGGTCTCTCGGCTTAGGCTAAACTGCCAGTCTAAGCCCGAACGCACTGTCACATTTCCTCGGCGGTTTCCAATTCATGCAGGCCTCAAACCCCGACGGCTAAATACTGATCTATATTCTCCGGCCCAAGAGAAAGTCGGACTATTTCAAAACTCTACTGCCCGCAATACGGGGAATTCTATGGGGAACACGCTGATCCCTCACGGAATGCACCGCCAAGCAGTCATAATTCCTCTTTTTACGGCTAATCGTCGGTGTTACGGCTTAATATTGCTGGTTCCAAAGCTTCTGCCGGTTGGAGATTCGGCAGTCCGAGGGCTCGTGCGGGTATCATTTAGTTTGCGGGATATTAGCGTTACGGGCTTGTGCTTTTTAAGTAGATTCTATTTTAGCAGTGTAATTCTCATTGATTCAGCAGGTATTTGTGGCCTGGGATGCTACATCAAAAAATATAAGACGCAGTTTCGTCAGTGGCATAGCGAGTGCCATGGCTATGGGTTATGCTCTAGCTCGCCAACGTACGTCTCGTTCTCAATCTCGCACTCAGACCTGCAACTGGGTATTGTTGCCATTTTACCGTCTGGGCGTGAGGTCGGGCCAGAAAAATATCCTGCACAGGCTTGGTGGTATAGAGTGGTCCCATACGTTGGGCGGGAATTTTGGACATAAGACCGTCCAATTCCGGTCTGAGGCCGACGAGCCGTGCTGCAGGACAAAGCAGTTGTTCTAGGAGTCGTTGCCGGGATCTGGACAGAACTTGTTCTCACTGCTGCAGATGACAAAATGACAGTGTCGAAAGCGATTCTTGGTAACAACTGTAGTCCCCATCCTCATCGCCTCGTTCAGATTCAAAGACAAAGCTGGAACTAGCAGGTTCATTCAAATACTAATGTCCCAAATGGCTGTGGAAGCTTAACCAACGCTAAAGTCAAACATCACTGCTGATATCGTCTAGCACTTGGAACAGAATGTGATTTTGAACTCTGCAGCCTGTGCCATTTGCACCTGCTCGGAACCCAGACCAAATTCTTCGTCGAATCTCATCGACATCAACTCCTTTGGTGTTGTATTGGTTGATCATTTCTTCTGCAATGGCACACAGCGTCGAATTGAGCACATCTTCATCAGATACCGTTTCCCGGTTCTGTCTGTCGGATCGGCATCCACACAAAGCCGGATCTTCTTCTTGTGGCGCTTGTTGTGGTGGCTCATCTGTTTGCTGCACCACTGTCGAGCCACATGCACCCCCGACAGCTTCTGGCTGATCTGTTTGTTGTACCATTGTCGGACCACATGCACTCCTGGCTGCTTCTGGCTGATCTGTTGGTTGCACCGCTGTCGAGGCACATGCACTACTGACTGCCGCTGGTATTTCAGTTGTCTCTGGTTCCTCTTTGTAGACGCGAGGCACTGCCATTGACAAATTCGATCTGCGAGTATCCCGACGTGCTAGGGACAGAGGATTATCTCCCCCTACGCGCTGAATGGCGGGGATAGCAACCTTCCGGTTGATGTTTGCTCCCGTATCCGCTTCCTGCAGATACTGCTGGACAGAAGCACCCGAAACTCCCAGTGATGCCAGAAGAGCTTTCAAATGCCGATTTTCAGCTTCAACCTTTTGCGTCGCAAGTCGGTGCTCAATGTCTTTTTGGTGGGCTTGTTCTTTATATACCGCTAGGCGCTGCTCTAACTCATTCACGTACTCCTGCTTCCGGGCTCGACTCTTGCGCTGGTTCTCACGAACCCGTGCGAGTCGCTCCGCATTCTTCTATGCCAGTTAGATTTCATGTGTTGGCTCCAACTACGTAAACAGACGTGACTGACCTTCTGGTCTTTCATTGAATCCATCGGTTGCTGACCCAGTGTAGAGCATGACTGAGTTCCCTATCAGTCTAACTTGTCATACGAAACACTCATTGGACTGAGTTGTGGTATGACAGGTGTGGTAGACAGTTTGACATTGCCTCCTTAAATTTTGAGTTCGGAGAAAATCGCTTTGTTGCCTGATTTTTATGGCTGCTACTTCACGGTCACGTGGACCATTCTCACCGAATTATGTAGCATTATTCGGTTTCGAGCAACATTATTTGAATACATATTAAATCCTCCTTAATTATTCATAAGTCAATACATACATATAGGTAGTCGTGTGCTTGACACATAATATTCCTTGTAGCAGGAAGAATGCTCCGATTACAACAGTAAAAGCACTGGAGAGTAGTGGGCGTAGAGACCCCACTATGTCCCCAAGACTCGAGTCTGAAAGGATTCACAGGATCTCTCCAACATTTGGCAGTCAGTTTTCCAACTCAGCTCCACACGAAAGCGAAAGCGAGAGGCAAAATAGCCATCGGATGCAGATGGCAAACGATCAGCCTCGACGTCATTAGCCGTCAGTCGCGCCTGAGCTGTAACCCTTGGCATTCTTTCTCTGCGACTCGTAGTTTCTACCTGGACCCTTTTTCCCTCTCACAGTAAATATCATTAGAATTGCATTGGAATCTCTCATACTCACATTTACTATCCCAGACCCTTCCATAATGGTCTCCACTCGACACCATCCCCGCGAATTTCCCTCTCCTGAGGCCGCGAAAGAGCTAGCCAAGTTACCTCCAGCTACCACCAGCGCCAATTCGCGCAAATGGACCCATACGCCCGCCGCTGCGTTGACAATCTGGCTCGTCTTTTCAGTTCCCTTGGTCATCTGGGACACAGGCTATGTCTTGTTGCGACCACATAGCATGCCCGGCGGAAGGCTGCACTCTCCCATCTGGACACCTTACGCGCTGTACGGAAAGGTCGACTATGTCTACGGATGGCCCGCTTTCAATGCGCATAATGGCTTCACGGCTGCTCAGACTATGCTCAATATCCTTGAGACCATCGGTTACATCTACTACCTCTGGATTGTCTACCACTATGGATTAACGATTGGGAGAGGTGGCGCATCACAGAAGATCTCCAAGGGATTCACCTGGTTGCTGAAGGGGGATAAGGTGGTCGCTGGGCGCATTGGTGCGACCGCGCTTCTGGTTGCCTACACCGCGTCGGTCATGACCCTGAGCAAGACCATCCTTTACTGTAAGCTATATCCATTACCTGGGCTTTGTCTTTTGGGTTATAACACAAGAAATAGGGCTCAACGAGATCTTCTCTGGCTTCGAGAACATCGGCCACAACGAACCGCTCGCCCTCTTCTTGTACTGGATCCTCCCAAAGTGAGTTTTGTCTGGCGCATGACAAGACATAAAACTAATTTTCTTCAGTGGGATGTGGCTCGTCTTTCCCAGCTACAATATCTATATTCTCGGAGCCGAGATTCTGAACTCGCTCGAGCTCGCAACACCGCGCCAGAAGGTCGGACGCCCAAAATCCACCTAGGATCAATCGCGCAAACTAGCAAATAAGCCGCGTACAGAAATTCGGCATGTGCAATGATGATAGCGAGTGCTCTTGAGAAAAATCAACTCCTTTGGCCTATCTATCGGTTGGTGGTATTTAGAGACGGCTAGTTTGAGAGGGAAAAGAAAGAGTCTACCTCTGTAATGCACTCGAGATGATCAATGAATATTTTATTTTGTTGCCCACTCAATAAGCATCCCCCCAAGGCGTAGCTGCATGCTAGTCCGAGTCTTCTGTCAAGCTTCCGACGAGCCAGCTCAGATGCCAATCCGGCTGTCCTACAGTCCTAGGCGTTCGGGTCCTTCTGAGGGAGCCGGATATTATACTACGAGTATACATATGTATCCATGAATGTAGTACCGGCCTGGGGCCACTTTTGATATCCATGACTCGAGGGGAGTTGGGATGTAGGGTTGCGGCGAAGCCTCCAGATCTGACATATAACCTCAAATCGATTGCGTGTGCACTTTCCTCTGCTTGAAGGGTTTACTCTGAGCTACAGTATACTGCACTGATTCTTCATACTCCGATATAGAAAAGTTGTGGTTGGGTCTCCGTAATATCGGCGTCGCCAATGGCCCGAGTCATTTGCCAAGCCGCCATTCGCCGCTGAACCTTTCCCCATATTCGGGGCAACTTCACTTTCTCCTCAATTCCGGCTCTCCTGCCGCTTCCTCGCTCTTTAAATTTCACGCCGAATTTACTCCCCCAGGACCAACTCGCGCTCCATCTCGGAAGCGTCTTCTTTTGTTCCCGACCGTGCCGAAGGATGCTTCGGGCCTGGGTCCTGGGGTATCCGCACCCGTCATGGTCCAACGCGATTCCGACAAGTCGCCATCGAAAACCCCTGGTGTCAGTTTCGATCTAGGCCAGGAGGAGGCGGCAGCAGCTCTCGAAGACTTCGATACCCAAAGCCATGCGAGTTCCCGTGACCCCGGTAGCACACAAGCAGTCGACCCCGCGCCAGGCCCGGACAACGGCACGCTAGACCAACGAGACGACGCTGGCAATGGACCGTCCAATTTTGAACATCTAAATGACGAGGATAAACCCGCTTGGAGCGAGATGAAGACCAAGGCCGGGAAAGAGCGGAAGCGCCTGCCGCTGGCATGCATCGCATGCCGTCGCAAGAAAATCCGCTGCTCGGGCGAGAAGCCTGCCTGCAAACATTGCACGCGCTCGAGGATCCCGTGCGTGTATAAAGTTACTACGCGGAAGGCGGCGCCGCGCACGGATTATATGGCTATGCTGGACAAGCGACTGAAGAGGATGGAAGATCGCGTGATCAAAACAATACCCAAGGAGGAGACGAGGGATATGCTCTCTATTGGAAGATCGGTTGTCAAGCCTTCCGCCTCGGTTCAGCCGACAAAGGCACAGAAGAAACGAAGCGCGGAGGAGGCATTTGCGGCAGAAATGGATGAATGGACTCGTGGGGACGGGCGCCCACCACACGAGACGTTCCCTATGAATCGTGAAGCCAAATCCACCGATGGGACTGGGCTCCTTACCGAAGGAGCCGAGTTTTTACCCTCATTGGAGATTCAGGAGCATCTTGCGGAGGTGTTCTTTGATTGTGTCTATGGGCAGTCATACCTCTTATTACACAAACCCAGCTTTATGCGACGGCTTAAAGCAGGCACAATTCCCCCTGTCCTAATTCTTGCTGTCTGTGCCGTATCTGCGCGATTCTCCACACACCCTCAGCTCAACTCTGACCCGCCATTCTTACGTGGAGAAAACTGGGCTAATCCGGCTGCGGCCATCGCTCTGAGCCGGCACGACGAGCCGAACATTACCATTCTTACAGTTTTCCTACTTCTTGGTCTTCATGAGTTTGGAACTTGTCATGGTGGACGAAGTTGGTCTTTTGGAGGTCAAGCATTACGGATGGCATACGCGTTGCAGCTCCATCAGGAGCTTGATCAGGATCCATTACTCAGTCAGCAGAATGGCAATGGCTCACAGTTGAGCTTCACTGATCAAGAAATCCGGCGCCGGACTATGTGGGCATGTTACTTGATGGATCGGTATAACTCTTCCGGAAGTCAACGGCCGCCTATTGGGAATGAAAGGTTCCTACAAATACAGCTTCCTATCAAGGAACCTCACTTTCAGATGGAGATACCTGGTCCAACAGAAGATCTTGGCGGCGATATCCTTAATCCCGTACCCGAAGATGCAGGCCAATTATCTAATGCTAAAGAAAACATGGGTGTTTCAGCGTACATTATTCGCGCTATCGTCATTTGGGGGCGCATTGTTGACTACCTAAATCTAGGTGGAAAGAGAAAGGACTCGCATCCACTTTGGCATCCAGAGTCAGGATACATGCAGCTTAAGCGGCAAATTGAGGAGTTCTCTGCGTCTCTTCCGGTACCTTTTACATTCACCTACGAAAATCTTCAAATCCATGCAGCGGAGAAGATCGCCAATCAGTTCATTTTCCTCCACATCATCATACACCAAAACATGCTGTTTCTCAACCAGTTTGCCATCCCCTTGTCCCCGGGGGGTCGTCCACCAAGAGATATGCCCAAGTCCTTCCTCAGTAATGCAGGTCGAGCCGCGGTGGAAGCAGCGCATCACATTTCAGTTCTTTTTGATCGGGCTTCAGCCTATCCTCTCACTGTTCCTTTTGCTGGGTACTGCGCTTACTCAGCGAGTACAGTCCATATCTGGGGGATCTTCTCGAAGAACATCCAGCTAGAGGCACGATCAAAAGAGAACCTCCGTCATACATACCGCTATCTCAATAAAATGAAAAAGTACTGGGGCATGTTCCACTATATGGTTGAGAGTGCCAAGGATCGATATCGGCAGTTCGCTGATGCAGCTATCAAGGGTTCTGTGGCAATTCAGAATGGCGCGTCGCTAACACCCATGTTCCAATATGGCGACTGGTTTGACAAGTATCCGCATGGAGTGTCAAGGGTGCATTGGGAGGACCCCGGTACTCGACACAAAGAAACGGGCGAAGACGCTGTCATGGGCCAGAAACCCGACCTCCAGAGCGTGGAAGATTTCTTTGCCGGCCTTTCCCCTACTCCACAGCCAAGTCAACCCCGCAAATCGCGATCTCGCAAGAACAGCAAGCTATCAGATGGAGTTCCAGGCATGGACCAGACTTCACCGCCGTCAATGATGGAAGCGCCCATGGGGAACACCCCGGGCGTCCCAGGAAGTGCATTCCCACAGCCATCCATGTACCAACAATCCCGGCCAATGTCCTTCGGCCAACCACCATTCGACTTCAGTATCCCACCGGACCAATTACCGCAACTAGACCGGCAATTCGTCTACGGTTCATTTTCCGAATTCGACCCCACTTCGTTCGTCCCAAACGACCCTGCTATCCCACCGCTCAATGGGGTCGAAACACAAAATCCAGATCAAACACTCTTCACCGGCCATCTGGACCCAAGCGCCCCTGCTGGAATGGGCGAGTTCTACCAGCCCAGCGCGTGGTTCCTGCCCTTCAATCTTGACCCTGTTAGCGGTGGAAACCAACCATCACAGGCTCCGCCCCCGGCTCCCATACCTGGGGGAAGCAATCGCGGCGGCACACCATCCGGGATCCCTTCTGTAGATATGTCTGGCTTTGGGGGCGCCGGCAGCATGCCCTTAAGCGCATATGATCTTGGTTTAACTGGTTCAAACATGAAAGCCTCACGGCCGTGATCAGGTCAGGTATTATCCGATGCTCTCTCAATGACTGCTACGTGGTGTTTGAGTTTTCTTTACTATGATTACAAAAGGTTGGAGTGGGACTTTTGGGCTGGGATCTGCTACTTTTTGCGCTGCTGTTCATACTATCACCCATTTGTGTCGATTTGTGTAAATATTGTTGTCTCGTCTCCGACATGTATATCCCTTTCTTTTTGAGCAGTTTTTCTAGGGAATATCCATATTTAATGGCTTGATTTTCTTGGTTAGACATGTAAAAGATTCTGATTCTGAGAAGGTAATCAATCGACTTCTTTACACAAAAAGTAAATTTAGCGAATGGAATTGCCAAAAAAAGAAACTGCTGTGCATCATCCGTGAATCGAACACGGGCCTCGTCGATGGCAACGACGAATTCTACCACTAGACCAATGATGCTAGTTATGTGGTTTCTTGTGCGTTACGGAAATTGAGAATCCATCAGCTTGGCACCTATGAGGATTATATCGAAATGGGATGAAGTAAAGAGTAGGTATGTGCAATTGAAGCGCGTGGATATAATACGACGGGTTAATTTATAATTTAGTCTCCATTCCGCTCACATTTGGACAGCTCTGTATGTCAATATGAACGAGTTGAAATGGTACATGGCCTCAAACGTGGATATATATATTTCCAGCCAATGTGGGCAATGACTACAAAATGTTCGCATCCAGATAACCAGGCAAGGAGAAAGACTTCGGAATATATTCTTGAATAGTCCGAGAAACAAAAGAGTGGCCATAGTTGTCACTGGACGAAAAAGTATAGGTAAAGGGCATGGGAAACAGGTCGCTACAAGACAAGGGAGACTTTCCACTCCAAGGTTAATCATCCCACTCTTCATCCAGTTGATCTATGAGCCTGTTCTCAGCATCCACGTCACGTCCCTGACTGCGTCCTCCCCGTCCTCCGATAGCGCCGATGAAACCGCCACGGCCATTCGAGTCCGCGCGGGTGTAGCCATTGCCCGCGGGGGATCCCTTGTAATGGAAAAGGTTTGCCAGAGAGGAAAAGGTAATCACGAACATGTCCTGTTGGTAAAAGAAAGAAGTCGTCAGCGTCATGGACCAAAAAGAGGCTCGCAACTGCAATCGATCGTCTGAGTAGAAAGTACATGCAGTAGAACACGCGATCCGTCTAATGGAATAAGAGGGACAGTGACTATGCAGGAGCTGCCTCCTAGCCAGCGATGTCGAAGATAAAATGACAGGTCCATTGGGAAGTACCTGAGGGACAGTGCACTTGCATAAATCAAGACATCTTGTCAAGCATATGAAAATGTACACGCCGTGGTCAACACAGCCGTCCGAAGACTCAAATGGTGAAATCCAAAGGGAAGAACGAGCAAAAAGAAAAAAAAAGAAGATCTATGTCGGACAAGAAACAAGGAAATCAATGGAACAAGTCAACCGCAACTGTCTTTCCCGAAGCGATTGGCCTCTAGACCAGCTAGAGCGAGCTCAATCTAACCTTGAAACAGGTAGTGCTGCCCCATTTGAATCCCGAAACTTATGTGACACGAACTTGCCATATCTGTATCTGCGACTAGGCCAACATGGGATCAAAGCTAGAATACTTACTTTCACAAAGTCGAAAAGACCCGCCCACAGGCTGAAATTCGGGCACTGGCGCCAGCCACGTTGATGCATGACAGTTCGTTGGTAGGCGCAGCCACCAATCAGATATACGGCGATGGCGATCACCATACTAGAGGACAGGGTCAGCATGGATTATATCGGGTGTTTCCCCAGCAGGCAGAAAAGCTTACATCACACCGAATACGCCGCCCGGTCCCAAACCGCCAGCGTTGGGATCTACGGCGATTCCACCACATGCCGCCGAGCTGCGGACTTCGAAGAAGTACGAGCATTCATCCATGCTTCCGACGAAGGAAGGTGTGGCCACGTTTGGCGCAGCGTCGCGGTCACAAAGGAAAGACATGATAGTCGACTTAGTGCGCGTAGAGACATTGGAACTGCCCATATTATGGGCCTCTGGACAAGGCGAGCCATTGGTATAATTGAGGACAAGTTTGCGGCCGCGGAAGAAAGGTTCAGATGCTTGTTGCCTGTATATGACCGAGAATAGTTAGCACAATAAGCAGACAATGAACCCGACCAGTGCGGCCGTTTGGGACGGAGATCTGCCATACCCTATGGAATATCTCTTATTATCCCGCTCGTAATATGCACTGACGTTCTTCCACCGCGATGACTCTATCCCGACCACGTCTGTCAAGTTCTCAATGACTGGCGCACAGATGTTGATTGTAAAATTGGCCGGGTAGTCATGACCCTTGGCATACCAGCTGTTGTCCCGCGCATCTTTCGAGAGTTTGTGGCCGCCCTTCATTTCGGGCGGGGATAATGAGATCGCGTTGAGGTCAAAGTACAACCCGGTGGTCGGGGAGCGGGCAACACATGGAGCGTCATCTTCCAAATGGGAAGAATATGATGCGCTAGATAGTCCAAGGATTGACGATAGAAGGAAAATAGAGTAATGAGCGGAGCTAGTGAGCTTCATGGTGGGCTGTGTCGGGGTCAACCCAAGGCAGTCTCAAAAGAAAAGAAATGGGATAATGGATGTGGAGAGGCTAGAGAGAGAGATATTATTTGCAAATGATAGAAATGACTCTCATGAATTGGTGTGATGGAGGTAAGTGTTAAGCGTATGTATGAGTTGTAGGTATCGCAGGGCTGAGAGAGAGAGGCTTACGTAGCATCACCATTGCCCGTGATTGGGGATGTGGAGCAAATCTCGCGGAACACCCACCATCCGACGTCGTACGCGATTATTTAAGGCTCCAGGCACTTATTTAAGGATCTGCTCCCCACGGGCAGTCCCTGGATTATTTCCTTGCATATCCATTGGCTCAGTCATTTCTTCACTATGCCTACTGAAAAAGACTCAAAAAAAATACCCGTGCAGCCAGTGCCGGAGAAACGTGGTTATGAGTTTGGTGGACCGTATGTCTTTCCACCTTCAATTGAGCTAAGCCAAGCTGACATTCGCAATAGACTAGGTGCTTTCGGAATTGTATTTGGATTGCCGATCCTGATCTATCTCTTTACCTTTGTCTGCAACGATATCTCTGGTTGTCCTGCACCATCGCTGCTGAACCCCTCAACTTTGTCGCTCGAGCAATTGAAGCGTGAAGTGGGTTGGCCAGAGGAGGGAGTCACGGCGCTCTATGACACCAATGTTACACTATGGACACTGAGCTATTATGCCTTCAGCCTGTTCTTGCAGGTCTTCCTTCCCGGTCAAGAGGCAGACGGTGTTGTGTTGGCCTGCGGAGGACGGCTGAAGTACAAATTCAATGGTATGGCGATGACAGCCCTTCCTCGCGCATCCCATTCAAACATAAGGATTTGTCTTCTGACTCGGCTCATTAAATAGCATTCCCCTCTGCCATCATTATCCTCTCGGGCCTCGCCGGGGGCACTTATCTCTATGGAGCCGACTTCGTGGTGTGGACATTCCTATGGGACAACTATGTTCAGGTCATTACAGCAAACTTGTTGATCTCTTACTTTGTTGCGCTCTTCGTCTACGTGAAGAGCTTCGCAGTTCCAGCTCCAGGGCAGGCAAATCCAGGCCTACGACAGCTGGCACCTGGCGGCCATACGGGCAACATGCTCTACGACTTCTTCATCGGCCGTGAACTCAACCCCCGTGTTCGCCTGCCCATTCCATTCGTCAGCGAGGCATCGCGCACCATCGACATCAAGGTGTTCATGGAGATGAGACCGGGCTTGCTTGGGTGGACAATTCTGAACCTGTCAAATGTGGCCCACCAGTACCGAACCTATGGCTACATCACTGACTCGATCGTGCTGGTCACTGTCTTCCAGGCATTCTACATCCTGGATGCGCTATACATGGAGCCAGCACTCATGACCACCATGGATGTAATCATGGACGGATTCGGATTCATGTTGTCTTTCGGCGACGTGGTTTGGGTGCCTCATGTATACAGCATTCAAACCCGGTATCTATCTGTCTTCCCTTATGAGCTTGGCTTGAGCGGTATGGCCATTGTTCTGGGTATCACAGCTGTTGGATATTTGATCTTCCGCGGCGCCAATAACCAGAAGAACCGTTTCCGCACGGATCCGAATGACCCCCGCGTGAAGAACATCAAGTACATCGAAACTGCCGCTGGATCCAAACTGATGATCTCCGGCTGGTGGGGTCTGGCGCGTCACATCAACTACCTGGGCGACTGGACCATGTCGTGGGCTTACTGCCTGCCGACTGGTGTTGCGGGATATGTTCTCATTGAGAGCATCAACCCAGCCAGTGGCGCTGTCCAGAAGCAAGCCGTGCAGACCCCAGAAATCCGTGGCTGGGGTATGATCTTCACGTACTTCTACATGCTCTACTTTGGTGTCTTGTTGATCCACCGTGAGATGCGTGATGAGGAGAAGTGCGAGAGGAAGTATGGCGCTGACTGGAAGCGTTACACCTCCATCGTCCGCAGCCGCATCATCCCTGGAATCTACTAAGAGATTTCCATCAAGGACTCCTTCCACAGGCCCTTGGAATTTTTTTTTATGCCTTATTTTTGTATATTAATCGTCCCTAATATTTCGCCCTGCGAGAACTTTCACAATAGGTTTCAACATTGTGAATTACAATAAAGTTGGTAATCGTTACATTTCCTATTCCAAGTTCAAAACAAGCTAGCAAATACAAATTCTAAAGACAAGTGATGTACTAGGTCAGGCAGGTTGTGTTAACTGAATGTGTCTTAAGTCGATTTAAAGGATAGTTGTGACCTACCTCTGTCCAACAAGTATTTGCACTGCAGTCTGAATCAAACCAGATAATCAATCTAACACTCTGGGCAGACGTCAAGAGTGAACCACAAGTTTGAGATTAATTAAGGTGCCCGAACAAATACATCCAGTTATGAACTTTCAGTTGGTCTTCAGTCATCTTCAGAATCTCCAAATTCGTCACCTGCATTCCTTATGGAATCGATTATATGAGTTTTGAGCCCGTTGAGGAAGTGATCAATCTTTCGCTCATAGTCCGCGTTGGAGCCCACGAGGAAGTCATCTAGAACTCTCAAATAAATAAAGACAGCAAAATGGTGACGGGTCAGTCGCTCTAGTCGCATATCCTGACGTTGCGCTTTTGTCTTGTTGAAGACATGAAGAGTTGACAAATAGTCCAAGTCCTTCGTCTCCCACGCATCGTAAATCCGAGGTCCATTCAATATCTGGCATTTGTTGTCAAGAAAGTACTTGTCAAATGGGACAAGCACATCTCGGAATCCATATTGACAGCCTGTCGTATCGATGATCCACGTTTCGTCGCTCTCGATTCGTCCTATCTTCAACACGGTGTGTGGGCCGCCGTGCAAGTCAGGACCAGGAACAAGCCTAGTTGGAACCCGCGGTCTTCCGATATTGACGACCATGGTCTCAATTTTCAAGGCTACACCTGCTTTGTTTTAGCCACGACTCGCTTCGGTACGTGGGAACTATAACAGATTTCTACCTCGAAGAAGTTTTCTGGTAAAGGGACCCAAGAGAGCCATGGCTGCTGTAGATTGGCTTTTGACGAGAGCCGCTTCCTTATGCTCGATGTTGTCGGTCATGTGGTTTGGGAAGGGACCGCGTTTGGATTGAGACGAAGCCGATCTTTGATTTTGATGGAGATAGAGGACCCCGTCTCGGTAGTCGATCTGAGTTAGGTCCACGTCGTATACAATCTCTCTGTATGCCAACATGGCTGCCTTCAGCACCTGGGCAGCTCGCAGCAGTATCTTCCGCTGCTGCATGTTCTTGCAATGGTCTTTGTGGTTCGGCCAGTCCATTATCTGACACCTGCGGCTGCAGTATAAAACAACTTGAGAATCGCCGCTTTGGTATTCGGGTGCATGCGAGCAGCCCAAACATATTGTCTTAGTTCCCGTCCCACATTTTGCGCACTCGACTGAAGGCTTCGTAGCCATCTTGAAGACAAAGTTGGCGGCTGCGATCAAAGCTGTGCTGAGGAAGCGGAATGTTCCATCGATTGTTGCTCATTGGAGTTGAGATCTGAGGTGTGAAGTCGTAGGTTGATGAAACTGGGGACCAGAAAGCAGGGGAGAGGAAAGAGAGAGGTGAGAAGAGCAAGAGGATCTGACAATCAAAGGCCCGAGAAAAATCCTGAGGCATCCCATTGTTGGTATTCTGTTGGACTTATGCATCCCCTCAGTGCCTGATTGATTAGGCCGCGGTTTGTTGTTTGACAACTACTTATAAAGGGCTGATATGTATCAATTAGAAACAGTAAACCAGTCCCCTTCTTCTTCGATAGCCCCAAGATATTTTCAAACTAACAAGACACGAAGTATCTATATTTATGGGTATCTTGAAAGGGAGACACGATTGGGTCAGTATACGTCAGTATACATGGCCCAGCGTAATCTGCACATTTCGTCCTCTGGACACAATCAACGATTTCGCTTTTTGGGATCAACCAAAACATCCAAGCCCCAAGATTCATCTCCTGCATTGGGCACCCATCCCTTGAGAACCAGTTTCGCATCCTTGATGGCCTGCATACGGAATTGGGCTGAATCTCCTAATCTGGTAGGATTTTTGAAATCCTGGTAGGTGGCTATATATGGCACATGGTGCTGAACTGTATCGACATGCGGATCTCCAGTCTCTGAAACATCTGACAGCGATCCGGCTGGGGTGTCATTGGTTTGATAGGTATGTGGAACCAAGGCAGCCGCAATTTCGCGAAAGAGAGCCCAAAGCTTAGCTCGCGATAGAGACGAGGCCCCGCGGGCACCGGGTGAGGACGCCCGGTTTCCTTGCTTCACTCCATTTATGATGGTCTCATACAAGCCGGTTTTGGAACGGCAAAGACTCGGCACTGTCTTGCTGCCGGTATCCATAGTCCTTGCCGGTGGGTAGTGATACGAGGGAGCCAATACCCAAACGGCGCTAACATTCCCTGGCCTGGCCTTGTTAGATTTTGCACCAGACGTCGAAGGGTCTCCTTCCTGCTCCAAAGAAATTGCAGGACAAGACACAGACTTCGGCTTCGCAAAAGGCCAAAGCGCTGCCACATCTTCACTCGGCACCGAAAGAACCTGGAATGGCCGGAATCGATATCCTGGTGTGCTTTCTTTAAGCTTTGTATCGTTAGGCCAATATCGCCCACGCAAAGCCTGCATTCGGCCATTCTCGCCAAAGGAGCGGTTACAGCCAACTTGGCTGATTTCGTCCTCAGGAAGAACCAGACCTGCCAGATAGGCGTTTTCGGTGGGAGCAACGAGGCGACTGGTGTTACAGGACAGCAAGGAGGAGATTTGCCGTAGTGCAAGCTTGTCTGAGCAGGACTTGCTGCGCGTGGACTCGGCGTCCATGCGCGCTGGCTTTCGACGAACGACCCCGAGAAGAGAGAAGTGGGCCCGGCCATCTAGAAGGGACTCGGCACCTGGCACATCTGCGTCTTGGATTTTTGGCAAAGGGCCTTCTTCCTGTACGACTTCCCACGGTGTCGCATCTTCTTGGGCTGCCATGCAGAGCTCCATGCTTGCGTCGCCGCAAGGAGCACATGTGCAATACATGTAAATCTTGATATCAGGCCGAAGCTCAAAAGGCGGCCATTCTGTGGGACTACCTTTATCCTCTTTAATCTTTCTCCTTTGTATGAATGGAGAATCTGAGACTTTTTGATTATCGGGGGTAGAGGCATCATGGCCATTCGGTAATTGCTTTTCCCGGGATAAGACACTGTTGCATTCTGTCAAAAGCCAATAATTGAATGCTCGGATGGCCAATATCTCGGCATGACAGTCATGTAGTACAAGACCCCTGCAGCGTGGGAGATGAGATGCCGACAAGCATTTTGCACCACTCCTACATAAATATCAGCTTTTTTGAATGTTCAGACTTGCTCAAGTGGGAAGTCAAAACTTACGTGACAGAGATGCAGGTCAGACTTTCGGAAGGTGTATTTACTCCTATAAGCGAAGAGATAAATAGTGTTACTATAGGACGCCGAGTGCCATCAAATCAAAGAAAAGACATAAGAAGCAAAGAATGGACCCCTCCCTTCACCGTACATACATGGGCGAGGGATTATGACTATCCTATGAACAATTGAGTAAATAACATACCTTTGACAGCCACAATACCGGCCATTGGAATCCATTCCCTCGACCCATCCGGAAATATGGTTGGTTTACTGCGCGTTGGCAGAGCATCGAAATGTGCATGAACCAGCGATGCTATCCGGGACGATAATGAAAAATCAGACGTATCACCAGACATTGGTTATAATCATAGCTTGAGTGACAATTTCCTAAACAATCAGATTCTTTATTCAAGGCAAAAGACAGGATCAAAGAAACTAAAGACGTCCATACGATCACATGACTTTGTATAATTCATGCCTGAGGCACAAATGGTTCTCTTTCTTCTTCCAAGCTTTCCCGCTATCCTTCTCAATCCAACGTCAACGTCTCTACTATCCACCATGGCCGACAAGCTCCGCACCATCCAGAACCTTGAGGCTCTCCAGGCCCGTTACATCGGTACCGGACACGCCGATACCACCAAGTACGAATGGACGTCCAACATCCTCCGTGACAGCTACTCCTCTTACGTCGGTCACCCTCCCCTGCTGTCTTACATGGCTGTCGGCATGGGCGAGCCAAAAGAGAAAGTGCGCGCAATGATGCTGGAGAAAATGGTCAGAGGCGCTGGTAATCCGCCAGAGGTACGTGGTGTCTTGCAGAAATGCTCAACATAATACAAAGATGGGTTGGCTAACATGTGCTCTCCAATGATTCAGACTCAAGAGTAGAACTACACGGTGTGGTTTATTCTTGTTTTTCTTGATACCCCTTGTCGCGTCTTGTCTTTCCATAAAGGAAGGCAGATCCTGCGATCCTCCGACCACCCATAGTTAGTCTAGCACAGCGACTTCGCTTACATGAGATAATTCTCTCTCTGTACCGACCGGCTTTGAAACCGCCAACGAGCCAATTTCTCGAGATTTCCCTCGATCCTTCGATATTGAATAATATCCAACCAAAATACGGAACGCTCTACACGAACAGGGTCGATAGATCCTTCTCTTTGGGGGGATGATATCCCCTAGGGATTGCCCTTGTTTTGGAACTTCAAGAATCCCTCAATTCTTGTCAGCGAGCGAGACAATTTGTGACATACCATGTTACCATGTGAGATTATACTCTCAACAGCAAATTTCCAAGTGCCCAACAAGCATGATGACCTGGATCGCCTGGTATTGCCCCAGTTCCTCAACTGTACTCAACGCATGGGAGAATCCGTTACAGTCATATTTCACTTGGTTAATCATGGTCTATAATATTACAATCCAATCATAACGTTTGAAAGATGAAGATATCCAATATTAAAATCTATACCCAGCAGACATATGTAGGAATAGACACCGGACAAAATATGTAGTTTCAGACCCAATCAGAACTAAAAATCAACAATAGAGGATGCTAGAAACAAGCCATGCAGTATGTACAAGTTATATAATTATGGTCTACCCACCACTTAAGCATCCGACTTCGCCGCCAACCTCGTATTCTCCGCCTGCAATGAAGAAACAAGATCGACCCATTTCTGGCGCTCAGAGCGAAGCTGCTTGACCTCCTTCTTGAGATCATGTACCTCCTGCTTCAAGCCATCAACCTCAGACTTGTTCTTGGACTTAGACTTCTTCGAGCGCTCCTCATCCTTTTGCTGTCTCGCTTGGATTTTCGACGTAACCTTCAGCTGGCTAGCCTCGATCTTGCGCAGCTGCTTAAGTAGCTTAGATTCCCCATTGAGAAATTGAGAGGCTGCTTTTGGGAGATGCAATGGCGGGTCGGGGGTTGCCGTCTGCGTAGAAGATGACTGGTCTTCATTGCTGATCTCGCTCTGCGGTTGGTTTTGGCTCTGCTGTGTGCGAGTGCTGGCGGGCCCGGAAGACCTATTCGTCGCTGCGCGCTTGCGCATCCCATTGGTGTCGCTGTCTACCTCGCTGATGCCTTTTACTGGGGTCCCTGAGACACTAGGCGGTTGTGACGAGATCTGAAACTTTTCTAGTTCGGCGCGGACTTCTTCTAGCTTGCTTTCGACCTCGCGTTTGCGGATCGCTAGTTTTGCGAGCTCTTTCTCGTGGGAAGTGAGTTTGCCATTCTTTGCCACTTGGTTCAGTTCCTCCATGGACAAGTTGTTGTGCGCTACCTTGTCGATGGCAGTTTCTTGTTCAGAATTGGCCGAGGAAATTGAAGCACGGTCTTGTTCGCGAGATCTTGAAGATTGGGCGTCCAACTCCGTTTTATTTTGTTGGACGCCTTTTGGGCTTAGGTGGGCTATGCCATCTGCATCAATGTGGGAAACCTCGTCCCCAGCTGGGAGATCACTGGATACCTTGGTGTGGGGGGCGCCATAGCCTAGAACTTGTGGTGCGAACCGTTCTAGTCCACTGTTGAGCAAGCCGGTGACACTGGCAATCAGACCATGATGCGACTGCTCGCCGTCGCTGTCGAGTGATTCGTAATCCGAATCCGAGTCGTCTGCCTGGTCGGAGTCGTATCCAAATGTAGACTTCCCGGACTTAGGCTTGGCGCCTGCTGGATTATTTGCAGGTTCCATACTTGTGCTTTCTTCTGGCTTGGGCGGCTTGTCATCTTGAAGAGCCCAATTGATGAATTTAGCGGCGTCCGCTCCCACACTTCGTGGTGTTCCCTTGTCCACCATCCACCGCGGAATGTTGCCGCCTGGGTCACTCCTGGTGACCATGATCCATTCAACAGGGTTCATTTCTTCGTCTTCGTCATCCCCAGCTCCATCCTGCCCAGGTACCCCCTCAGGGTGTTGAAGATGGGAGGACGGAGAATCAATATTCCTCTTACTCCCCTGGCTAGAAGAGCTGGCCCCGTTACTGTCTTTCTTAGGAATCTCCCGAACGAGCTCGACAGACTCATACTGCCCGCGAGTATACCCCTGCTTATGCCGGATATCTGGGTGTTCACACGGCCTAGAGATCATGATCCAGCTGCGCCCAGGCTGCTTAGTTCCGCCAGCCTTCAATCCAGAATCGGAATTGATGATCAACTCCACAAAATCGCGCGGAGCAGTAGGTTTGGGAAACTGGGCGGAGACATGGTAAACAATTACATCTCCCAGAACCGAACCATCGTGGTCCTTGACCTCAATAGTTTCGATCTTTTCTTCGGCGCCGATCCCGCGAATGCTCTTGTCAGGAATCTGTCCCTTCTCAATCTTCTTGCGATTTACTTTGAGTGTTTCATCGTATTCAGTTGAGAGCTTCTTCCGCCACTGCGAGAATGGGAGGCCCTCATGCACGCTTCGTCGCCCGAACCATGAGCCCCCGCCGTCATTTGCGGAAAGCTTCCACACAGTCACATCTAACGGATTGTCCTTCGGTCCACCTATCTTGAGTGGTTTCCCCCATTCCTTTTGCAGGTCTGTAATCTCCGGATCGGTTTCTCGCACTCGTGCGGATGATGGGAGTATTTGTCGGACAGACGAGTTTGTTGCATCGTCTAACTCGGGGTAGCCATCGTTGTCGGAGATTGGGGGGTCTGGAAGTGATTCCGCTATTAGGCGGCTGTTTTTGAAGATCTCGCGCACGTAGTCACGGAGCTCGTCGGGATCATGGGGGACTTCGTCCCATGACGTCGGTTTGAGGCATTGGAGGGCCTCGTGTAGGAAAGTCATAGGTGCAATATGAATATTCTATTTTGGAAGTCTTCCGTGAATTTTAAAATCCAAGTTGTGCCGGTAGTGACGTTTTCAAGTAGCGGGGTTTGTCGGCTGGTGGCTGTGCCGGAATCAGGCCGCGGACGTGGGATATACGGCGGCTGACACCTAGGCACCACGATCTCCGGAATTCATGAAGACTGCAGTGTCTAATAAAGCTCAGGTGGCTTGCTCAGACGGATCTGCTTGTAGAGAGGCTTTAAGTTAACAATTGATGAAACACGAGCCGGTAAATCCCAGACAAGACACAAATGCAACAGATTTACAATGCAAAGAGATAACAGCAGATAAAAGAAGCCAAACAGTACAGGTGTTGAGGGGCTGTGAACAAACGAAACCCGCAGAGTCTCGATCGACTTGGATATGATGTAGCCTGGGCTTGTCTTGGCGGTTGACGTCATACATCTAGGGTAGCCCTGGAGGGAACCACCTGGGCAACATTGTATAGGGTTGCCATGAATTGACTTTGAGAACATGGATTCAATTTAGATTTTGTTTAGGATGAGTCTTCTTCTCTTAGGATGTTGGCCATATTCTATACATTCCTCAGTATGATGAATACCCAGTTATAGGTACGAACTGCACATGTGAGAGGAAGATATTGTGTATTCTCTTTTCGAAACTAAGCTAAAGAGATACATACAAGACTTGAACAGAGTTTCTGATGGATCAACAAAAGACCAGGAGAAAAGAAGCAGCCAGTGCAAGGGACCAGCCCACCCGATCAGACAGATCATAAAGGAGAGTATCTATCAGATCGAGCATCCGATTCTCGTCGTCGGGACAAAAAATGAAAGGCTCTTCCATCCAGTGAAAGAGCTCACCGACAGACCAAGCTTGTCCAGGAATTTCTAAAACCCAGCCTGGACGATAGGAGATGAATCTATCGTTGCCAACTATGGTCATTTTAGATGAGTACGTAGCGCAGAGGACGGAGATGATTGCCGCTCAGACCACTCGTCGATTAGGGCGAGGATATGAAGATCCCCAGGTCACAGACCAAAGGAGGAAGTCCAGTGCATCGCCCTTTGCGCTCGGTATCCGCCACAGGCGGATGTGCTCGAGTCTGACGAGGGTAGAAGGCAATCTTCTCTCACACTCATGTTGCCGATATTCACCTCCTCGAACCAAAGGTGACAAAAATGCGTGCTCCTACCAAGCATCACAGATGCAGGAAGAAGGTGACGCCGTCGCGTGAACATATCCTCCAGTTCTCTGACAAAGAGAACTAGCCAGTCCAGTACCCAGTACCAGAAGGACAGACCTTGTAAGAAGGGCAAGAAAACAAAAGCACGCGCTGGACCCAGTCCAGTCGAGTAAACCAAATTTGCTTCCTTCCCTTTCCATCGAGCCGCGACAGAAGAATCGAAAACATAACGTTGGACATTCCACGCCCAAATTCATATCCTCCACATGCCGCGAGGCAGACCAGTCTCCATGACATATATGCGGGAATAACAAAAGAAACGAAACATAACAGAGAGCCGACCCGCCGCTTCTTGATGCAAAAAGTAAAAAGAGAAAATAGGGGTAAAAATTCGCTGACGCTGGAATCGAAAAAAATCAAAACTATCAAAACAAGCGCGAAAAAGATAATTCTGAGTATCATGCAAAACGCAGGAGGGAGTATCACAGATGCACAGTGTCAAATCGAAGAGAACGCCGTCAAGAATGCGAATTGTCGTTGCTTGGAATCGGGTTGCCGGCAGAGATATAGACGAGAGAGGAGAGGGGGAGCCGAGGAGCCGTGGTGCCATGAAGAAACCGAAAACTGCGTGCATCTAGTTCTAAGAAACGATCCACGTTTCTAAAACCCACGTCGCACAAACCGAGGGAGCCTGGACTTGGGAATGGTCGACATCCACCGAGTCTACCCAGGAGGGCTGAGCTAGGCGATCGTACCATACGGTAGCGGAGCAAACTCGCCCCAGCTAAAGCCCCCCATACCCATGTTGACAGCCGTGCTGCAGGGTTGTACAAGCATGCTCGGGAACATGCTTGGGAACGTGCTCGGCAACGGGGGCGGGCTGACAGCGGCCGACGTGGTCGGCATGCAGGTGGTCGGCAGGCAGTCGTAGGTCTGGAACGGCGAGGGGGTGAAGGGTTGGCTGTAGGACGGGGTCGGTGAGGCAAGTTGGGCATCACTGAAACTGAGACTACCCCAAAGAGTCGGATTAGAATCACCCGTGGTGGCCGGGTTGGGGCTGGGCGACAGTACTTTCCACGACTCGAGTGGCGCTTGATGGGGCACCGGGTTCTGCCACCAGTTTTCCGGGCCGGTCGAACTGGGCAAGAGAGGAATTGGGCGCATGACATCCATCACTGGTGGTGAAGGGGCAACCAGTGGGACAAAGAGCTTGCCGATGGCTGCCTTTGCGTCTTCGCTGCGACCGCTCAGTAGCTCTCCGGCGCCGTCTTCTTCTAGCCCCTCGAGTGCCTGGGCATTGGCGCGGTAGACGAACTTGTTGGCGGCTTGGACAAACTCCTCCTGTAACCTCTTCAGCTCACCGTGCTTTCCCGACCAGTTGTATGTGTTGGCGGCGGCATCCACCGAGTAGACCTCCTTGTGAAAATCAACCAGGGATTCGATCGTTTCCGGGGTCAACTTGAAGGCCACCTCGTTACGGGAGACCATGTCGACGTGTACAACGTAGGCCTCCATGTGAATCATTTGGTGGTTGTGTAGGGCTTCCCATAGCTGGTTCTCATTCTTCTCTAACTCTGCCTGAGGAACTTTGGTGAACATCATGGAACACAGGGTCCAGATGGCATTTTTCGATGAGAGTGTTTCAGTCAAACACCGGGTGTGCTGGGTGACATTGTTCAGAGGACGCTTGACCCGGTTAACTCGTTTGAGGGTGGCTGTCAACCAAGGCTCAACCTTGGTGTTTAACACAACATTCGGAGATGATCGCGGAGCAAAAGCAGCGGCAGAAGACGGGAGTAAGACTGTTGGCATTATGACACTGTGCGAAAGGTGATACGTCCGGCGTTGGTGATATAAAAGAATGTAGAATATAGAACATAAATCATAGAGGCGACATTCGCCCACACAAAAAGTGTCTTTTGGATTTTTGGAATTGTGTATGTCGTATAATCCAGTATTAGAGTGCGGGCGAATGCGCAAAAAGAACAGAAATTAGAATATAAAAGAAAGGAGACATGAGAGTCAAGAGTGTATAGAAGAAAGAGGAAAGTTAAGAAGAATAGGAGGGGAACCTATAAGTGGAGATTTAACAATAATATGTTAATTTTGGATTATTTCTATTTTTCTCTTTAGATATTAACAGAATTCAAGTTTTCTACGGTATTATTTTGGTTATGCAGGCTGATGGAGTCAATGTACATCAATGTACATTTACAGCATCGGACTCCCCGATTTGCAACTTGAAGACTCCAGTGGCGATAATACTTGAATACTTGAAACGGTTAAAAATGCCTGAGATCCAAACGTTTCATCAAATTTGACGGGTTCACTCGCACAGTGCCAGTCTCACACACCTGTTGCACGTCCATTTGGCCAGAACAGCTGCATGATGCCCTAAACTGCAACATCTAAGCCCCAACGATCCACGAAACGGCTTAAACAGAAGGAAACAGAAAACCTCCGAGTCTCCATAGATCATCTAGAGCGATCAACTTTTCTACAATTAGCGGGGACTTAGATACATTCCTTAGCTGGGCGATGTGCATATTTCAGTGTGCGCCAAGATCTACACACTGTCAAAACATACTGGATCCCCTAGAAATCCCATGCTTTTGGGTGAAGAATCTATTTAAATTTGGCTGCAGCCTGCAGGTCGAGCCTTAGTTTCGATCCCTTTTTCAATGTGTTTCAATACTCTTGTGCTTCAATATCCAACTGGATTATTATCCTTTGAAGAGGAATATTCCAGGATTTACAGTATTAATAATATTACACGAAACACGTCCATAACAACCATATCAAGGTTTTTTTTGGACCTATCGAGTGCCGCTAAGACGATACAGAGTGGTAGACCCCAGCTGATGGAGGGTCGAGCAAGCGTGGGGCAGAGCCCGTCTTGAGTCACTTCAGGGCTGGGATTCGCTGAGACCAACCGAGTCCGGCCGATGCACAGAAAGCTGAGATCCCTGTTACGATCTGCCATTGGGCTGAGCCTCCATTGCCAGACTTTGGGACGGCGCCACTAGCCTTCACGTACTGAAATACCGTTTCTTATTCTTGTCTTGTCCACATGATTCAAGTTATGATCTCATCTTACTCTGTACTCCCGCAGGCGCCTTTGCCTTTTGTCTCTTCCCTAAAATGGAATCCCTGCCGCATATGAGTTCGGTCACATGGTCTTATGTGGGTGTACCGGGAGTTCACTTTAAGTCGGATGAGGCCGCGTCATTGTTATTGTGTATCTATAGCATCCGCGGGTAGGAAGGGCTAACGTGTGGAAAAAATATGCGACCGGCTTTTTCCTAAAATAGATATGAGGCGGTGCATGTTACTCGCCACGTTGTGGCGGATATCTCCGGACCCACCATGTAGATATGCAAAGCCCTAGTGACTATCCATGGATAGTCTCTTGCTTCGCTCTCTTCACTTCACTTGTTTTGCCGAGAACTGGTTGGAGAAGAGATATGAGTTGGCAAGAGTCGAGAGCTGGAATCTCAGGCAGATCTTAACCAAATCCACAGTCAGGCGGTTACTGAAACTCAGCTCTGTCAGGCCCGTATCAAGCGGGTTTCATGACTGTCAGGCTGCCATCAAGTTGGAATAGTGACATCACCACCACTTTGAATAGAACAGTATATTGAAATCCATTGCATTTTGCGGACCGCATCGGTTATGACTCATATGGGTGCCGATGGTGTTCGGTTTGAAACGAAACCAGACAATTCCTAATAGTGCACGATATACCGTTTGTTGGACAAGCTCCTAAATGAACCCAGAATAAAGCATTGCTTTTTAGCTATGCTAAACAACT